GCACTACTATTTCAGAGAAGTTAATTTTAATGGGAAAATTTCTAATATATTTGTTCCAAATACCATTGTTATTAACCAAAAAAATCTATTTGTTGCAAATTAAAGTTGTGAGGGTTTCAAGTTTACATGAGTTTAACGCAATCAGAGATAAAAAATAACCCTCTATTCAACCCGAGTAGAAATTCCCTGGTTAAGTCATTTTTAACTTAAATTTTTGTGATAATGCATCAACGTGTGTTTTTTAAAAGTTATTGAAAAATTTAGATTTGATTCTAGCCCTTTAAAAATCGTAGAAGTATGTTTGCAGCTATCATTCGTACAAACAATTTTATACTCGTCAGTTTTCAAAAGCTAATTTGAAAAAAATAAATAAATAAAAAAAAATAAAAAAAAATAGACGAAATAAAGTAAGATGGTAAAATAGGAAAAACAAAATATTTTCCAGTGATTTTTCTACTCGGGCGTTTTTAAGCGTCTAGCACGATCCTTCCATCGTCATTGTATCATAACTAAGACAACATTCGTCAGCACGAGCATCGTAACTGCACATAGTTCAACAAAGAGAGGAGTTCATGTTTTCGGAGATAGTCATAAGAGAGGTGATAGTGACAGGCACATTAATTCGTGGCGCACTGTACACGCGAGGGTCCACCATCTGCATCTTCTTCATAAGCTTGACGCGAGTGACGATCTCTGGACCTATCTTGTTCTGGGTCGTAAGCATGAAGCTCAACTTCTTCAGCATTGTCTGGTATCATAACTTCTGGCGCTGGTGGTAAACATGAAGCCAAGGTTGGGATGATGCTTGGATCAAGAACAGTAGGAAAGTTGATGATAAATTGGATGATAAGTCGTCCTTTTTCGAATGGATTTTTGTACTGTGGCATGCCTTCGTCAGCGATATACTTCAAGTCATTAGGTTTGATAATGTTACCTGGCAGTGATGTCACTACCAAGTCTCGCTCATCAAGAGTTTTGATCACCTTTTGGAAGCCACAGAGAGCCTCGACAAGCTCTAGTTTCATATGCATTATGAGATCGTTGCCCGATCGTCTGTAAAAATAAATTTGTCATTAATAAGATTTTTAAAAAGTGTAGTTTCAAAAATATGTCCCTAGATTAACAAAAGAAAGATTATTTTTAGATTCCGTATAAAGAAGAAGTATTTAAAAAGTTACTTTCCACACAAATTCTGAATCAAAACCAATGAATCTGTATCAATATTATATAAAGATAATAAAATCTGCAGCTACCTCATCTTAATAACACAGAAGAGTATCTGCAGTTTTCTCTATAAATGATCTATCAAGAGAAAAATTACATAGTCTATTGAAACCTTGCAGCCTTTAAATCGTTATTTTTACTAGCACGGATACAGACGCGATGTACAAAAAACAAACGAATATCAACAACATTTGAACTTCAGTCATTACTACTTTACCAACTTAAAATCAGTGTGACGCATCTTTCAAATGTTTTTTTTCTATAGTATCTAAAAATTTTAGAAAGCTATTTCTTGCGTTGACTTATAACGATATGCACACAAAGACTAAATAATAATAAACTTACTTAAAAACTTCGTGTTCTTTCTCATCCAACAGAATTACAATGTCACCAGGCTCTCTGTCAGGCTCTTGGTCACCCTCATTGGCAAATACAATTTTTTGTCCATCGACCATACCCTTGTCAACATGGACTTCTAATATTTTCCTATCTCTTATAGTCTTCTTGCCAGCACAGTGTTTGCATCGATCTTTTGGCTTGATACATTCACCTTCGCCTTTGCAGTCGCTGCAGTTGGTACGCATCTGTTGCACCATACCAGGAGCGAGTTGATGGATTTGCACTTGGTATCCCATACCGTGACAAGTGGAGCACTGAGTAATCGCGTCTTTCTTACCACCGAGACCACCACACTTTTCGCAAATAACACTCTTTTGCAGTGCTAACTTGCGCACTGTACCCTTGTAGAGCTCTTCAAGGGAGACAGAGAGTTGATGAATCATATCTTGACCCTTTCGCTTTCGACGTCCTTCATTACGCATGCCGCCCATGCCGCCACCACCAAAGAACATATCAAAGAGGTCCATTGGCGACGAGAAATTAGTACCGCCCATGCCTCCTTCCTTAAGGGCCTGTTCGCCACCTTGGTCATAGATTTTCTTTTTTTCTGGGTTAGACAGGACCTCATAGGCTTGTGAGATTTGTTTAAACTGCAGAATCATGCAAGTGGTTATTCAAGAAACTTGTAAACGTATCACTTTTTTTTTGTTAGAACGTGAAAAATTGAAAACTCACCTTTTCACCTTCATTAGGATTTTTGTCTGGATGGTATTTTAGGGCAAGTTTCCTATAGGCTTTCTTTAAATCATCTTGTGTACACCCTGGCTTGACACCAAGGATGTCATAGAAAGTCGTCTCTTTGACCATGTTTCCCAAATTGCTTATCTTTGCTTAATATATTCCAAGCAAGCGTTTTTCCTAGTGAACAAGTAAAAAGAGAAAACTTGCCTGAAATGATAAATAAAATTTTTATTGCATCTTTGAAAGCAAGAGAAGAATGATATATTATTTAAGTTTGAGCAAGATGACGTTAATAGAAAATTTAATCACAGTTGAGTTTTCTGATTCAAAATAAACGATTGAAAAATCTACGTGTGTTTAAATGCAATTGACTTAAGATGCTCCCAAAAGTTCCTGTGCAAAAAAGTCTACAGCAACGTCACTTTGTATTAGTTGGCAGGTTAAGATAGCAAAGTATTGCTAATTAGATATTTGCAGTGTGCTAAGATATAGTACTTGGACCTACATAGCTCTGGTGTATATTATAATTCAAGCTAGATAAGCACTACTTGCTTGGTACACTATTTCCGATCTCTATTATAAAAAGTTTTATCTATGAAAATGTAGAAAAAGAAGATTCACATACACACACAACTTTTTATACCTTGTATAATAAGTTGAGGCTCTGCCAAAATTTTTGTAATTAAATTAGTTGGATATAGGTTGTTCATAACTGTTAACAAATAAAATAGCAACAAAAGCTGATCAGTTCTGCTAACTCTGATAAATTCAACCCACCTTTGTAACTTAACTTTACGAAATAACTATGCCGACATGAGACTTATAACTCGTCAGCATCGTTAAAATAAATGAAACCCAAGTATAATAATCTATAATATATATATTCCATAAAAATAGTAACCACATTAACGTTACTGTCGTTATAGGAAGTTCATCCGAGTTCTATTTCCGAAAGCGGCTATCTACGTTGAATTGTGGCTATAACTACATGGCAAAAAATGATGATAGTTTCGTTTCAATGCTCACGATTCAAAAATTCCAAGGTTCATATTTCCATGTTGCATTAGATCAACCATACATAATTATGCTACGAGTGTCTCGAAAAATCGTTAGAAACCCACGCACTCGAAGTCTAATTAAAAATTTAGCCAGCTAAATATTAGCATTGGCTCTAAAAGTACCTACTCGGGAGTTAAAAATTCATGAAATCGTTAGTGACGAAAGGAAAAAAAAAATGAATAAAAGAACAAGCAGCACCAGCCAATCGATCAATGATCATCATCACCGTCATCGTCCCCACCTTTGGACATCCATTGCACTCACGCTTTTGTAACAATAATTGCGTCGTCGCAAAAAACACGCGTGATGCACGCTTTTGATATAATGAACCGATATATTGTAATTATAGCAAAATCTGTCGAGGCCAATCCGGAAACGTGTGCGTTAATAAGACGTTCATCGGCCACAAGCCAAAAATCCGATATCTCTCTCTTCTGTTTGCCGATCGAACGTCATAACGAGAAATTTTTTTTCAACATCTATTAATTCAACGCTAAAGACTCAATTGACGGCAGCAACGCACCAAGACTCGAAGCTTCGATCTACAAAGCACGAGGTGTCTCCGTGTACCTGTCGGTTGTGTGTGTGCGTGCGTGTGCTATGTATGCGCGTTTTCAAGTACCTTTTCCTCAGGATACCCTCCCCCAGTCCTTCCAAGGAATCTTTGTTAACCTGCAATTGGTTTTTTTTCATTGTTCTCAACGAAACCTAAATAACCTACTAGATCGGCATGACATGTCGTAGGATTGATTTACACGCATCATCTAGGAACCTATTGTACTTTAGGAAAGATGAAAACGATGCATCAGTGAAATCTACCGTAGGAACTACGAGCGACCCCTGAAAAATATCCACCATTTCTGCTCTTCGATGGGTATCTACGGACTTTTGAACTACTCGCGGCTAATTATTTGATCCTGACCTGGATGTCCTATTCACTACTAGACATACCTCGTGGCGTTCCTCCCCGCAGTTGTCAGCTCGAGAAAATGGTGGAAAAGTCCGCACGTTCGGTTACACAAGGTTTTTCGATGCTTGGCTATAGACTCGCTTTGGTTACGTTTAGGTACAGAAGTAAATGAGAATTTCGCCTTGGTAACGTTTGCACATACACGACAGCTAGTTTGTGCCTTCTGCCTCGCGCTCGTTTATTCCCATCGATCGACTTAACAACCTACCACTGACTAGGCTCATTACTTTTTTTTTTACAGGCGAGCACGCGAAATAGCAAATTACAACCAATCAACTTTTTCCACGTGATTCACGAATTAGCAATGGTCTCTACGAAAACCTTTGATAATGTATATATAGAGAACCTCACCTGGTACAAAGGGTAAAAAACAACGTCCTCGCAATGAAGTTTCCTCGTCACCAACTGCAGAGACAGCCAGGTATATGATCACCGATGTATAATGCTCGCGTGGTAGCTTCAACACTGAACACTTGAAAAGCAGCTGGTGCAATTGTGCCAAGTATATATTAGTGCTCGTCAGCGTTCGCAGACACGGACAGGCGATGATACTGTAACCCCCTGCACCGACTTCGATCCCGTTCGAGAAACTTCCGTCTGCTCAGTTGCACCAGCTGTTTAGGCCAATCAAATGGTTGGGATTCCTATGGAGATGGAACGTCTTAGCTGGCGATTGGTTGGAATGCGTGGATCGACGAACTACGCAGACGAACCAATCAAAATTTTGAGGTTGGATTGTCCATTTTTTTCTCAGTTTTTAAGCGGGTTCAATTTGAATCTCGTCATCAAATTACGATTACGGTTTTTTATTATACCTAAGTAGTTATCAACACCGTAAAAATATTCGAGAATATATTGTTCGCTCTCGAGTTGAATAGTAATTTTTGATTATATTCAATGATTCAAAGATGCCTTGACAAAAAGTATGTTACTGTATCAACTGTGATATTAGTTTATTAATAAAAAATTTATATAAAAAGTTACAAAAATATATATAATATTTAATTTCATACGTCGCACATTTCTCAAGCATATACTCTGTGGGACACAAGATTTGTTCAGAAGGCATGAATCCTGTTTAAGAAATACATTTTTACTTTCAACTTGTCGTTAGTCATGGAGATTTTTTTTTTCAAATTAATTTGTTGATGTTCATGAGATGAATCTTTTCTGCTCATTGGTTGCAACTTCTAAAATTTTTTTTACCAAACATCTTTTGCAACTGATAAGATCCATTTACTTTCTGTAATAAGAAACAAAAATAATTATGTACATTTAGTAAGATATAAATGAGCCAAGAGTCAAATAAACAAAACTAACAATTACCAGAGCTCGAATTTTTTTGAATTTTCGTAAGATTGGTTTTGGCAAATTAAAGGAATCAATCGAGTTTAAAATGGTCGTACGAAACTGTACCCTCATGGATTCTGGCGTTCTATGGTTAAGAAACTAAAGAAAAATATCTTATGTACATGACAGCATTACAATTATTGATACAGTGTACGTGAGACTTGACAAAAATTTGACTTACACCTTCTTCAACCATGCGTTTGTATAAGCTAGGACCCTTACAATATGCAAATAAATTATGACCAATAATGTAGTCTAGAAGCAGCCTATGTTCCCAAGGTTCCCAATTTCTGCAAAAATTATATTCATTATAAAATGAATCTTCTTGTAATGAAAACGAGCGTAAATCAATACCTTTGAACTCTATTGACCAGCTGTGATTTGGGCCCTGGTGTACTAAATAAAAAGAAAATAACATTTAAAAAAATAATGTTGCTTGAAGATTCATACAATTAAAAAAGTACCTTTCTTTCATTGTACACGATTTTGTTTTCACTTTCTTCGTTGCAATGTTATTTTCAACTGCAGCAAGTCTAAAATTACGTATTTTATTTAACTTTATATATTATTTCACATAATATATCTTGTTAAAAAGAAGTTATATTGAATATCACTCACTTGGTAACTTTTTCCTTAACTTTTTTTTCTTTTACAGCAGACACATCTGCTTTTTTGAAGGTTGGATCACATACTACGCAAGCGTTATTGCCATTGTGAAAGCTAAAATAAAAATTTTTCTTACAGATACTTGCTGGATGCATTCATATAAAGAATGATAATAATAGTACACACTTGTGACAACATGGATCAAATTCTCTAAAATCTTTTTTTTCAACATACTTAGGTCCAAACCTGCAAAATTTGTATTATTAATAACCATGTACTAATAAAGAGTTAATGAGAAAGAAAAAATGGATAAATATGTACCTGTACTGGTCTATGCTTAAACATCTATTGGCATCAATGCAATCACGAATGTATGTTATATTGTACAATGGTGAATTGGTAACAACTGAAGATAGAAAGTACTCACTAGTAGTAAACACATATTTTGGTAAATCATCACATGTTGCTCCCAAACCCTGTTATGGATGAATGTTACATGAATAATCATGATTGCCACAAGTAATTTACAAAGATCCATTCAACATATATAATAAAGTTATACAAAATGATTAAGTAATTTTTTTAATATAACTTAACCTCAAGTTAAAAAGTCACACCTGAACGACGCTCCTTAGTTTTATATCTTTTTCCTTGGGAAGCCCTTCAAATCCAAAAGACTTTCTTACAAATAAATGCAGATTTAATGGCTCGTCATCGCTTTCGGAGTTATAGCACAAACCCGCCATTTTTATAAATATTCACACATGTGTAAGAGAACAATTACATATAGAACATTCGTTGTAACGTTAACTCGTTTACCGCATTGTCTAGTAATTTTCTAAATGTAACGAAGTAGGTAATATATAAACATTTCTTTTACCAGTGCCGGCTGTGTACAACCATGCACTTTACGAATACACCACATACCTAACAAGTTTCACGTTCCACTTGTCCCAAGGGTCTTGCGTATTGCGTTATATTGTATGTGTGTATGGGTTTTTTTTGTCGATTCATTCGTTTAAAAAAAAAAAAAAAATATTTTCTTATTGAGCATCTGGTGGACAGACAAAATATTTAACAATTGAAAATATTTATCAAACAATAGGAGGCGCACAAAAAAGTAGTAAGTACAAAACAAAAAAATGATCACTTCTCGACATTACGTAATTATTTATGGAATTATAGTGTTTATCTTTCTTATGGTAGTCCAAATTAAGCAAAAATAACAACAATTATATATTATTGATATTTCGGGGTAAATAAAAGAAAATGTTTATAATTTCAGTCAAGAAACAGTTAATCGTTGCACAAGTACGGATAATTCGTTTTTTCGCATAAGAACTAGCGTTGAAAATTCTCTTTCGACGGTTGGCGGCATTGGCGCATCCGTTAGCGCAACTTGAATCAAGGACCATCAACCATCAGAGAGGACGATGAGGCTTCAATTACTTTTATCGGCGTTTGCGATAAGGATACATCTCAATAATCTATAATTACCTCGATAATTACGGATTAGCATTTTGAGCGATGCAAAATACAGTCAGAGGGTAATATTAGTTATGTATTTTTGAAGAGGACGTGAGTACGTAATTATAATTACTCGTTTTTCAGGTTTACGCACTAAGCGATCAACCGTATCAATAAAAAAAGTACCGAGGGATGATTTTGGCAATCGGACATGGCTCCTAGATCAATGGTAGTGGTGCAGGTGAAAAATCAATGTTGATACGAGTGCCTGCTCTCTTATGAAAAAAACAATGGGTGCGTAAACGATAAAATAAATAAACTTCCAATGAAAAAAAAAAAAAAAAACGCGGCATGTCTACGAAGTGGACGAGCTGGACGGCGACCCCCTTTTGCGGCCAGGGTGTTCATATAGAGGACCAGTTTTTGTCAGTCTCTGCGCATTGCGTCATTTGCCAAGAAATACATTTGGAACAGGCATCAAACGAAGGTGTCCGCTCAGCGTTCCATGCGCAAGGATATACCTACATAACCTACACCCCCCCCCCTGTCCTTCTCTTGAGAACTTACGAGGGTGGGTATATTTCATAGGAGTGAGAGAGCATCTAGTAGGTACGCAATTAATGGTCTTCATAAATCGAAGGTACGTCGATTATTTTGAATTTTTTATCTCATATCTCTGTCTGATGCCTTAAAGAGTCCAAAGCGCGGCAAAGAATTTCGAGAATCGAAATAAGCGAATAAAAAAGAAATATACTGGTACGCGTAGGTATATTATATACAAATATTTAAAAAAAGGATTAGTCATTACCATGAGATTTGCAATTGTTAATTGCAAAATAATATGTATAATTCGTGTGTTCGCGCGCAAATACCTACTGGTCCCTCCGTTCCTCGGTCCCTCATTTGAACGCGTATATATATATATATGTATTCACATGTATGTGTTGTACTATCTGTATTGGAGACTGGAGAGAGAGATAGTCATAGTGGTACTCGAACTCGACTCTCCGCGTCACTCTATCTCTCTTGCCATGTATTCGATACGTGATGCTCTTGCGCGCGTATACTCAAACATATCTATACACAATGAATGTGGTATGGTATAGTATAGTGTATATATACATATGTAGTACACGAGGAGCGCGCGCGAGAGGAGAGACAGAAGGCAGAGCAGAAGCAAAAGTGAGCGCGCGCGCGAAAGAGAGAGAGAGAAAAGAGACTTTTTAACAGTCGCAACGGGGCCGGCAGTCGACGGAGCAGCGCCGCCTGAGTACCTACGTACGCACGCGTTCGCTTGCTCGTAAGTACATACAACAACCAATAAGTATACCCTAAATCTCGACAAGCCCAACATTACACATCGGTACGTTTCATGTGATACGTGTGATTTGCTCCTCCAAACGGATTAAATCCACGTTCCTACATTGCTCCGAAAGTTGCGTAGTTTTGTGCAAGTGCTGGACAACACACCGTTATCGTCCTCTACATTGTTGTGATACCGTCGTGGATTATCGTCCACTGTTATCTATCTGCCGGTTACACACATATACATGTATACACACAACAAGTTGTAATAGTCGAGCAGTTGTCAGCTGAACGGTTTGTTGTCGATCGCGCGCTCGAGAGGTGCTGCTCTCTCTTCGGTCAGTGTCTTGTCTTTTTTTTTTTTTTTTTTTTTATCATCATTCCTCTTCACGAAACAGAGGCGCAGCATATACGTACATGATATATACATATATAGCGGTGCTCTTGTGCGTACGTAATATTGCGAAATTCGAGGACGAAAGAAATGTAGAGTTTTAAAGAGGAGAAGACGAAGAAGCAGCGCGAAGAAGAAGGCACTGTTATATACATGTACATACAGCACATCTACGTATAGATATATGACCAGTGGCAATCGCGTACGGAGTGGTATATATTGTATACTACGGTGTACAACATACACACATATACATACACGCCAGGCAAAAGTGGCGGAGACGCGGAACGCAAAGAGCAGAAGCAGAGAGAATACATACGAGAGTATATAGTGGTGTAGTGCGCGCGCCAGGTGTGTGCTCTGGCCCGTTGTCTTTCTCTCTCTTTCACACGACTTCGTACATTCGTACAGCTGCAAAGCCAGAGCAGCAGTAGTTTTTTGCTGGCCCGGCAGCAGCCGCTGATCCACGGCCGTCATTACGTCGTGTATATGAGTGTGTAGTGCCTATGTATTAACGTACATAATATATACATATATATGTGCCGTGCATAACCTAATATACTCGTGAGTTGCCCCCCCCCTCTCACTGTGTCCATAATCTCTTTATCTCTGCCCCCCCCCCTTTTGTGTAACGTGTTTATGTAGGTAATGTAATATAAAAAAAAAGTTTAGTGAAAAGATAACGAGGCACGGCTCGTCTTCGAGTTCATTTTTATCATTAGTGTTCTCGAATTTCAGTAGATCTTTTTGAAAACGAGCGCCTGTCACCGAGCCCATTTTTTTTTTTCGGGTGACCTATATCGGAAGAGTCAAGTGATTAGTTGACAAAAGATAAGTGGCTGTGAAAAAATGTTTTTTTGTCATTAAAAAAGGATGGAAACTTTGGTTTGGCTTTAACCTAAAAATAATAACCAATCCGACGAGGGAAGGAGGAGAAAAAGAGGGAGAGAGATCAAGAACGGGATTTTCCAATGCACGTCGCTAAAGTATTTATTACACCTCGCGAGTGATGCTCGCTGTTGTTGTAGATCGGAGTGGATATATGTAATTAAGTGCACGGATGTGTGAATATTAAAAATTAATCCGTCGTCTGCATTTTTTATAACCTCGAAAGTAACTGTTTTCGGGATCAATTACATCGATGCAGAGGAAATAAGTAGTTGTGTGATTATTGAGAAAAAAATAAAATATAGTGCGCGGGATTTTATCGATATGGTAAAGTGGCATGTAAGTGTGCATTGTTTCAATCAAATTTAATAAATTTGTTGTTTGGTGTATCGTCGTTTTTCGTAACGTTGGAACGCGTTGTGCCCGAGTTGTATTTTTTTTCTTCCGTTAATTGAGTCGCGCAGTGCGGTGCGGTGCGCGCTTTTTTACGTCAATGGGATTCGCGACCCGCGGCAGATCCTGCACTTATGCATCCAAAGAGCGATCGAGACCACTACGTATCAGGTGAGAATATCATGTTATATAGCTTTTGTTTACGAGTTTCGATAAGTGTGCTTTCGTTGACGTAACATAAAAAAGAGAGAACGTTGAAATTCAAAGACACACCGCGTGAATTATGTTTTGCTTTTATTTTTACCTGCAAGTAAGTAGAGAAAGAGATTTGGTGTTTTTTTCTTCTGGTAACGTCGGCCGAGTGTTTACCAAATAGCAAACACAACGGATCGAGCATTGAAACGAGAGTATGTAAACAAAAAGCGGCTCTGTGAAATCGGAGTCGCCGCCGTTGAGGTTAGGTTACACCTCTCACCCATATATACACACGAGCATGTGTAAGTGGAGGGACGTCGTAGATCATTCGCGATAAACGCGCAAAAATAAACTCTAGCTCTCGGCTTCTGTTCCATTTTCATTCGATTATTCGACGAATAACCAGCGATGAGGGAATTATGTACAACAGACCGAGATAAACGTGTGTTCACGTTAATTACTAATTATTCATTCCATACGTTGTTGCACAATATTTTAAGAGTCGTATGACAAATATTTATAAATAAACATCGGCAACGTTTATTATTTCCTTACTTTTATGTTTAACGATTCGCCGCTCGTCACAAACATCTCAATCATGTTTTGCAAATAATATTCTTCAAAGTTGTACGATATTAAGACATCAATTCATCTGCAAACATACAAAACGATTCTTATTTTGAATTGTTGAGAAAATATGATTAACTTTTTTTTTCTCACACTTGTATACTCTTGTTCTCATTTGACAAAAAGTAATAAAAAAAAATAATAGAAAAAATCACTTGTTTTCAACGGGACACAAAAGCATCGTGTTTTTATTCTCAAATATTTATCTCTCATTGTTGATACGAACAATCGTGCTTAATGTTCTCAAGAAAGATCGTTAAACAACACTGTCGCGCGCTCGTTTTTTTTTTTTTTTTTTTTTTCACTACATCTTTCCTCCTCCCACTCTCTTCTTCTCGTCTCTCGGCATTATATTATTTCTTTTTCTTAATTCACGTACCGCGAGGTCGTCGCATCAATTCCAATCGGCTCGATTTACAGTTTGATTAAAAAAAAAAAAAAAAAAGAGGATGTACGCGAGGATGCACGTACACAAAGCCAAACGGGATGAACATTGTAGAGAGACAGGATGTTGTTGTCGCGCGTAAACGGGCGATAATAATTTCGCGCTGATTGGATGATAATCGGGTCGCTGATTAAATTCTAGGATAATGACGACGGTGTTGTTGCATAAGGAATCGGCGGCGAAGCAGATAGAGCCTCTCAATATCTCGTTGTCATTGTGCCATCATAATTGCCAACAAAACTTTTCTCATTGCCATTATTGTTGTTCGCGCCATCGTTGTTATTATACTTACAGCTGCTGCTACTGCTGTTATTGTTATTGCCTCGGTACACTGCCAGCTTGCTCGCTCACTCGATCTCTCTCGTCTATTTGTCATTATTATTATTATTATTTGTGGGTGTTGGAATCGTTTTGTTACTCTCGTGGCCTCCATGCTCTAAATTTTCCATTGTCCATTTCAATGAATCGATTAACTTCCCTTTGATCGAGCCCGTTAATACACATTACATACATTTTTCATCATTCTGCAACATCTGCTGAAATAATAACTTTTGGCTTTACATACCGTTCGATATATCGTATATACACGCAACGCACGCCGTTATCGTTTATTTTTGATGCGAAAAAAACCCTCGTCCATTTAACGCCCCTCGCCAACGCGATTGTTAACGTGAATTGAAATATCGAAAGCTTTAGAAAAATTAACATCCCCCCCTCTCTCTCCCTGGACAGGGTATACTAGACCACTATGCCTGCATGTTGCGAGTGTAATTAACGATGCATGGTTGTGATTGTGTGCCGACAGAGGATGCCGCAGGTGTTGTTGCTGTTAAGCCACGAGGTCGAGAGGCGAAAGTGTGTGCCAGTGATGTCGGTGGCGAGGCAGCCTGCAGCCCTGCTGGACCTGGACCATGGCCGGCAAGCCTGAGCAGCCGGCCTCTCATTCAGGCCCGACGCTGCAACAGCCCCAACAACAGTTGTCGTCCCTACCGAGGCAGCAGCAGCAGACCCTCCAGGAGCAACAGGCTGCGGCTCTGCAGAACAGCGTCTTAGTTTACGTATCCGGGGAGAACTTGGCCTACGCCAACAGCCTGGACCAGCAAAATGCCCTTGCCGGTTATCAGCAGCAACAGCAAACCATCAACAACCAGCAGCAGGACATCGGCCCGGGCAATGGCAACAGCGTCTTCCTGCAGCACCATCACCACCTGCCGCAGGTGTTCGGGGACAAGTCTCAGGCCGCGACGGCCGGCTTCCTCGGCCAGGCCGGCAAGGACGTGGCCCACGAGTTCGAGCTCGCCGTCGCCGAGATAGAGCAGCAGGAGCCGCTGCACGCCCCGAGCCGCGGCTGTAGCGACGAGGAGGAGTCCGGTCACTCGCTCGGGCCCGACGACGACGACCTCGTCGACGATGGGAGCTTCGTCGTGTCGCAGCTCGAGGCCGCCTGCGACGCCGACATCATCTACCAGGATGACGAGCACGACCAGGACGACGAGCAGGACCAGGAGCACCTCATCAAGCTGTCCAAGGACATGCTCGACGGGTGCAACGGTTACGCGGCCATTAACGGCGTGTACGGCTTTCCGCTCGACGAGAAGAGCCTTCAGGGTGCGTTCGCGGCCGCGGGGGCGGAGCTAGACGCCGCCTGCGATGCGAACGGCAATCACCAGGTTGGCAGCGGCTTTGTAAGGCAGAATGGCACCTCGGGCCTCGGGCAGCTTTACCCCAACACCCTCATCACGGATGAGCAGCAGCAACAACAGCAGGACGACCAGGTGGTCGTCGGGGCGGAGCTGCTCGGTGAGACGGTGGTCAGCGCGGGCCAGGCGTTCGCTAGCCTCGGTAGCTGCGACAGCGTGAGGTCGGACACGGCCGAGTCTACCTGCAGCAGCCTGAGCAGCCACGAGAGCCAGGAAGTGGCCTTGCAGCAGGCCGCGAACTTTGTAGCCGCGCAGCAGGCTGTGCGGGAAGCCGCCGAGCAGCGGCAGAATCAGCAGGTGCTGCAACAGGTGCATCAGGTGCTCGATGACGCTATTAACAGTGCTGGTGCTTGTGGTGTGGTGCAACAACAACAACAACAACAACAACAACAACAACAACAACAGACTCAGCTTCAGCAAGATTTGCACCAGGGCATCGTAGTCCCGCCCGGCTGGAAGAGGATCTGCACCAATGGCGTCATCATATATATCAGGTGAGAGATCTCTCGATATTTTGCTGTTATCTTGACGTTTTTACTTGCATCCATCCTATCTGTGTCGTATACAAATCTTACTTTTCTCAACAAGGTCAACACACACATTTGTCACGCTTGAAAAGGTAAGCGGAAACGATATCGGGTTACGAGGCTCCGTTGAGTATACGTTTTTGTTCGCCTCCTTTTTTTTTTTTTTTTTTTTTTTTTTTTTTTTTACCGATCGCAAACGATACCTCTCCTCGCAAAAAGGCCTTGTTTTTTGTTCGCTCGTCTAATATACACCCATACGGATATACGTATGCGTAAGGCAACAGACGTGACATTAAGTACGTAAGCAGCGCCACCGCCGACAGACTCCACGACAATGTTTACCAAAGAAAGACAATCTCGAGCGCCCGATGTATGTATTTGCCGAAACTTATGGCGACACGGTTATTTGCCAAAGCTAATTAATCCAAGTATACGAACCAATAGCAGAGGAGAGGGTGGGAGAGCTATGCTTTTTTTTTTTTTCACGCATCGCCCTCGCGCTGTTATATTTATTTCATCGTGTATCGCGAGGCTCGAAATAAAACAGTTGAACCACCACGCGTTTCGGAAAAAACCTTTGTCTGCGTGCATTCGAGAACGAAAACGAGATTGAAATATCACGAGAAAGCATTGGTCGGTTAACAGGCCGGTTGCCGTTGCGTCACGAAGATTATCTTTTTTTTCCTTCACGTGAGCGACAAGTATATATAAGTAAGCAAGAGAAAAGAGAAAAAAAAAATAAAGTAGAAGCCCGAGAGATAAAGCGACTTTGACGAAATACACACGGACGAAGCTGGCTCTTTACCCCCCCCCCCTCCTCCTCGCGGCCACCTCGGACTTGTTATTTCGATTGCATAATCGATTCGTTTGACTTGAATTTTAATCCTGTTAATTCGAGCTGTACATAATATATCTTCGACGTGGTTTGGAGAACGAGTATAAAATACGCGCCGTTTCGTCTACACTCGGAGGAGTTTTCGTCGAGGAACGAACAAACACGCGCCGGTTAAATTTAGAACGTGTACTTTTCGATTAATTGGACGCAGTTCAACTATTTTCTCTCTCTCTCTCTCTCTCTCTTCCCCGTGTTATGAAATTGGAATCGCGCGTCGCGTTGTTTTACGCCCGAGTCGTAAATCTTTTGCCTCTGCTCTCGATATGAAAATAAACATCTCTCGTCTCGAGCATAAAAGTATATAATTGTTACCGCGAAATTTGTGCCTAACGTTATTTTCGTTATCTAACTGGCTTATCGTTGTTTCGGCACCAGTGGCACACAAAACTTGTAATTTTTTTTTTTTTTTTTTGTTTTTCAAATTCAATTACTCTTAATCGCTGGAATAATGACTTTTTAACTTACGGTAATTAAGATAAGAGGGCACGAAGTTTAGTAAACTCGAATTACCTGCTTTGAAAAATCCAAATTCATCGGATACACCGGGTATCTCTATTATGTATTTTCTGTTTTTCAGTCTTTTAAATTGTATACAAATTAACTGGTGCCTTTAATGAATCATTTAATAGATGTGCGTATGTATAGATAAGTAAGCAACCGTCTGTAATTTTATGGTATTTTAATTTCGTAAATTTTTGTAACATCCTAATTGCCTGAATTATGTAATAGGTCAAACCTACTTTTAAAATTAGTCTCACTGTAATTACTTATATTATTTTTATCTTATATTGCCTCTGTTCGAGGAGTTATTTCTTTGATTACACTACTTTTGTAGATGCTCTTTCGCACTAATCAACCAAATGTAACTTTGTATTTTTTTTTTTTTATCTCTCCATTATTCGGACCCAATTGTCGTTGGCATTGATAAAATTGGCTATCGATCAATCAATCAACATCTATTAGTTGAAAGTAATTTATTGCCGTGTAATGGTAACCAAACAACAACAAAAAGAAGGAAAAAAAAAAGGTATCGAAAGGATCCGTACTAATCCGTGCGCGTGAAAGTAATAGGTGTGGGGCTTGGAGAGTCAACCCTATCGATTCCCCCGACGGTTTTTTTTTTTTTTTTTTTCTTCGGCGGGTCCAAGAACAAATCACCAGAAAAACACGAGAGCAAAGGGCGACGGCGATTCATCGAGCAAACTGCGTGTACGTGTCCTCCCTCCCTGTTGTAGCCCACGAGGGGAAAAAAAAACCCCATACTCACTCGACGGTAAAGACACACGAAAGTGTACAAGACAACCTTGATGGGGGAAAAAAAAAAAAAAAAAAAAACAAGATTCAGAAACCGTGCAGGGAAGGAGGTGGGGGGCACTAATTGAAGGTGAAGCGGGTATAAATGAGGGAGAACAAGCCCGCGCAAACGAACGGAGTGAGAGAAAAGAAGGGCCAACAGCGTAGAGAAAAAAAGCGCGAAAGCTTACGCAATCGGAGGCCGAAAACCATAATGTGTATACCTCTACACAAGCACGCACGGCTGTCGCCCTCTCGGCCGATAATCAATTATCAACGAAGCGCACACGTGGAATGATACCCTCCCACCCCTCACGGGCTCTCTTTACATTTATCGGTGATCGCTCATTTCGTCGAGCCCGCGGTTTCCTCTCTCTCTCTCTCTGCGCACATAACCTCTAATTCCTTCCCGTTTGAAGTTTACCCAAGGCTCTCGGGACTTTGGTGCCGAGTGTCATGTTTGCTCGGCGAATAAACGAACGCGCGCGTTGAGTGTACATCATCCGTTGGACACGAGCGCTGCATGCCCCATTCGACGTGGCTTTTGCGGTCTAGCTGCCCCGTAAAGCCATACGGACCGCAATTATTAAAAAAAAAAAAAACAACCCCCATTGTGTACAGTGTGGGTGAGCTCCAAAGGAGTCATAAATAATGTCCGATCATCTGGTTGTAGACGACCGCAGCTCCGGGAGAGAGAGGCATACCTCTGGGGCGCTCTCGATAAATCTCCCGGGCAATGTGATCCTGTTTTACCACGCCGAGAAGTGGCAAGTAATTATCATACGCCTTGCCGTGTATATATTGGCTGGTCTCCCCTTTCCCTGGGAAAACGAAAACTGCGATAGATATATTATATACCCGTACGACCACTTATATATATACGTAGTAGGTAGGGTATACCCCATAGTATCGCAGGACTTTCTCAAAGTCGCGCGTCGAAATATACACTTTCACCGTGTATACACGTATATACACCAGTTTGTTCTCCCCGAACACGTTTTTGCACGAATATACACACATAGGTTGTGTATCCCCGATACCTGTGCGTATGACCATCCTGTGGAAAGATCGGATGTACAGCAACACCGGGTCATCGAACCCATATGTTTTTATGTCAAAAAGAAAAAAAAAAAAAAAAGAAAAAAAGGTTAGGGGGTGAGAGAAGTTTGTACGGAGGCTTTTCCTCGAGAGCTTAGACGCATTTCCGAAGGGGGAGAGGAGGACACATCTGGAGTCGAGATTCCTCTGACACCCTAATACTCTCCAGTGGCGGCCTTGAGGATGAAAGCGAGCGCCGCCACCGGCGTCGTAAAACCTTTTTTTATAGGCCTAGCTTGTCCTTTTTTTTTTTTTTTTTTTTTTTCTTACCCTCCTCCTTTTTGTGCCATCAGCGATGGCAGACGACAAAAGAAAGGTTACTAAGAGGAAGAAATAAAGTGGCGCCGCAGTTTACCGTGAAAAATGTGTCATGTCTGCAGTGGATGAAATTGTTTTTCAAATTAAAAAAAAAAAAAAAGAAAAAAAACCCGTGCGACTTGATTCGTAAATCCGCTCCGTCGTGAATAATATCGCGGTGATAAGGCAAGGAGGTGTATATTCATAACTTCCTCGCTTCGTTTTGCTTCGCCTCTTCTCGAGCTTTAGTGCGGCGATCGGCGCTGAATTCCATTAGGCTTCATTAGACGCCGCGTTGGTATATCATCATTGAAAGCTGATTTATTCTCGGGTTCCCTCTCGGCTCGCGGAGAAAAGAGTTTGGCGTAGTTTTTTTTTTTTTTTTTTTTTTTTTTTTACATTATGCGCGGATTTGATGGCAATTAAAAGGGTGGAGGAAGTACGCGCTATTTACAAGTCTCGCCGAGGGGTGCGATGTTTACGACGACGGCCACCTCTCTTTTTCGCATGAAAATCAGCCGTTTTAATTATTTACGATCCATTAGAGAGTGACGCCAATTTTAATGTATCCTTATTCTTATCTGGGTGATGTACGCATTAACGTTTTGCTCGATTGACATTTTTACGCAACCGCCCGTACCATGTACTATATTTTATTATGATTATTTATCGTCTCGTTTGTCTAATGGAAACACGACTGATTTGCATAATTTGTTACTTTCGAGTTTTAAACGGTACTGGTTTCACGATGGTTATATCACATGTTACTTTGTTCCCATGGAGTATTTTTTTCTTTTTCTGTGCGCCACAGCATCCTCCGACGTACAGGGCTTTTACTCGAGAAATACTCAACTCGAATCAAGATCTTGATAAAGATCACGTCAGTTTGACGTTACGTAATAGCTCCCTCTTGGCATAAATATACGTTTATGGGCCGTGTTCATGCTTCGATATTCAATTTAACAACATTTTGTGGGTCTCTGTGTGTATATATTATGTTGTTCGATCAAATGTATTATGTTGAATCATACGAATGCTGGTCCGGTGGACTATTGTGCTCATAAAAAGACAAATTTTAAAAACAAGCACATTGACGTTGGATGGAAATGAAGTGTGGAAATGTAAAAGAAAGGTGTGTTCAAAGTTACCCACGCGTGTCTCGTCGTGCAGATAAAGCTCGCGGAGCATTTTGAAGGTCGAGGTCACGTGATTTTACGTAGGAAGAGTGAGAGAGAAGAAAAAAAAGGAGAAAAGATGATTGTTGTACGTATCATCGAGCACAGAAATGCGCATCGAGTCGCTAATTTGAGCTCACACTGCTCGTGAGTGATAAGCCTTATCGATGAGTATTTCAACTTTTTTATTTTTTTTTTTATCTAATTGA